AAGGAAAAGCAAAAAGGGAAATAAAAAAAAGATAAAGTTCAAGAGAATGGAAAAAAAAGAAGAAAGTGTAAACAAGCAATAACAATGAAAGAAAACAAAACAAAAACTAAGTGCAATTGTAGGATCTGGAGAGGAGAAAACTTGGAGGCGCTTCTGCCAACTAAGAGGCTCATGAGGTAGGTGGAGGAGGGGTGTGACAGTGGAGTTCCTGGCCCTAGATGGAGTTCCTATACACCTAGGTGTGCTATCTGTGTTCAGGGCACTCTATCCAGAAGTAGGTCATGGAGGCCCTTGTTGGACCTGGCTTCAATGTCTGTTAGGACCGCAGGGCAATTGGGGGGCAGGGTGGCTGGTTATAAGGGTTTCTGCTAGACTAAGCTGGTCTGGTGGCTCTGTGAGTTCTGTATCTCTGGTACTGAGCCCACCTGACTCCAGGCACCAATTCAATGCAGCTGGCTTCCACCTCACATTGGCCCTGGACCCCTGGAGAACATAGTCTACTCTGGGGGTGGATAAAGGAGAGAGCTAGCCACACCTCTGGTTACCAGGGGAGCATGGGGGGAAAGGGGGATTGCACCTGTGTGACTCTGCTCTGCCAGGCCACCTTCTGTTGCCAAAGCTGCTCGTTACACAGCATCTGCTCAGTCATTCACCAGTCGGTCTCCCTCTCTCACTGTTCCTTCTCAGCTTCTCCTCCCAGGAAGCACTCAATCCACTTCTTTCACCTTTCCTCTTAAGTTCAGGGTCCAGGCTGTAGAGGTTCTGTGTAATGCATCTGTCTAGTCTGCCATCTTGCCAGAAGTCCTTTTGCAATACCTATTTTGAGAGGCACAATTCAATCCATAACACTACCCACTGGTACTTAAAGTGCTCTCCCCTCCTGCCCACCGCAATCACTAGAGCTCTCCACCCCTCATCTTTTCCTTCATACCCAACCTTCTGCTTCCAATAACTTCTGTTTCCTTTTTTTCCTTTGGCCTTGACCTTGCCTCTTAAGTACCTGAGTACCTTCCACATACACACTGAAATTAGAGCCAAATTCAGAATTTCTCTCCTAGTCTTTGAATGGAAAGGGACATAATGACCATATCCATATGAATTAAATACCTTGTACAAAGTACCTGCACATATGCACACATATACATGTCCACATGTGCACACACACTCACATGTGCATGCATGTACACTCACACCCATTTTCACATACCCATATATGTGCACATGTGTGCACACACTCACACATGTTCACATTTACATATACATGCTCACATGGGCACGCATACACCACGCCCATGTTCCCACATACACGTTCATGTGCATGCACACACATGTCCGCAATGCTCACACCCATGTTCTCATGCACACACACATACATTCACACACCTTTACATACACACAATAGCCATCCAAGGTTTACAGATGAGAGCACTGGAAGTTGAAACAACTTTAAAACTGAACTCATGTTCACACTGCATTTAAGTGGGTTCTGAAATTCAGATCAAGTCTCTCTGATTCCAAAGTTGAGGTGCTATCCACTATTGCATTCAGTCTCTTCTATGGAGAAAAAACAGTAGCTTAGATCAACTGATGTGCATACAGGGTCTTGTAAGTGAACTGTTTATGTGGGGTGCTTTTAAATATATTGGGGCGGGGGAAATGTTTGCAATGAGATTGGGTTGTCTGTCTGCTCTTGGAACCATTCCTAGATGTGGTAGAGATTGATTTTGGTCAGACCTGCCTGGAGGGAACAACAGACCTTTTAGACTAGATTGTTATAATATCTGTGTATTTGGGTGCCCTTGAACACATTCAAGGAGTCCTGGTGTCTCCATGAGTCACTGCTTCCTAGGACAGTGGTTTGAACCCACTCGGTGCTCCATGCAAAGATGTGGGCGCCTTCTCCCCGAGAGCTCACAGCCTTGCGAGTCCTAGGGGCACTTCTACACTGTCCTAGAGAGTCATCATGAGTTCCAGTTGACTCGGGGACCATGGGTTTGGTCAGATATGCAGTTACATGGATACAGCTCAAGAGTTCAATGATTTTTTCCAATACTTTTTCTACTGTAGTAAAGAGGGGCTTAGAAATATTGCAATTGGAATGTTTATCCAAACCCACAAATGGAAGGTACACTGGGGCATAGGGAATTTGTACCCTCAAATGAAAAAACAGCAGTCTTTAATACTTTAATAAGTTGTATAAGTAGAACACATTTTTCAATGTTGTTTCCAGTTTTCATCATATGTACACTAATTATGGAATTTCTATGATTTTAACTCATTTTATTGTCCAACAAGAGCCCTTGTAACTGACTTTGCCCACTATTTTGTCCTAAGTTTTATTCACCCCTTAGAAAAATTGATCCCACAATCACTTTCAGATCAGCCAGTTGTAATTCATAAAGTTGCCGTTGGTTGGTTTTCAGAAGTAGATCGCGAGGCCTTTCTTCTTAGCCCATCTTAATCAGGAAGTTCCAATGAAACCTGTTCAGCATCATAGCAATACACAAACCTCCACTGACATGAGGTACATTAGATGGAAGTCAAACCTGGGTCTCCTGCAAGTAAGGCGAGAATTCTACCACTGAACTAGTTAGTGTTAGTTGCTGTCGAATTGGCTCTGACTCATGGTGACTTTAGGTAATACAGAACAAAATACTGGCCAGTCCTTCCTCATCGTCACAGTCTTTGATCATTGCTGCAGTCACGTGGCAATCCAGCTGATGGAGTCTTTCCTTCCTACTCGCTGATTCTTTGCTTTATCAAACATGATGTCCTTACGTGTGATCAGTCTTTTCTAATGATGTGTCCAAAGTAAGAGCACTCTTAAACTGTTTGAATTGAGGAAGAAAACCAAGAGTTATTTTTCGGAGCCTTTAAATATTAAAAATATCTTCATGTTATTACTACATATTTGTGATAAGCAATAAGTCCAAAGACCTTTTGCTTCTGATTTTCTAGTCTTGGGACAGGACTGGCCAGTATTTCCTTCTGTGGTAGTGTAGTGGTTACGAATCGGGCTGCGAACCTTAAGGTCAGCAGTTCGAAACTACCAGTCGCTCCACGGGAGAAAGATGAGGCTTTCTACTCCCGTAAGGATTTACACCCTCAGAAACCCTGTACAGGGTCGCTATGGGTGGAAACCGACTAGACGAAATTTAACAACAACAACAACAAATTGTCTTCTAGTTTAATATCACATAGGAAAACCTTCTGTTTTAACAGGTGGTTCCTTTGTTGATAATAATAACCTCATATCATTATTTTAGTCTGCTTGTATACACAAAGGATTCATTACTCCTGATATTTAAGAATGTCTCTATAAACTACTTAGGAATAGGTCTGGTTAAGTCATTCTGCCTGGTCACTTTGTTTTCATCCATTCACTAAAATTAAGTTTGTTGTTTTATTTCATTTTGTTCTGGACTTTATGTAGGCACTCTGCCTCTACCTTAATGATGCCTCTCTGCCGCTCTCTTGTTCTCCCTTTATTCCCTTGATTTCTTCCCTTTCTGCTTCTTTCCATTACTAAGAATCTAGTCCTCACTGGCACTCATTGCTGGCAGCCACCAGCATTTATGCCAACCCACAGACTTACTGTATAAGTAAAAAAGCAGCTCTACTTTTTCTTCTAGGGAATTTGGTATTTTTCTTTGTATTGCAAAAGGTAGGAAACCCATTAATTTTGAAACAAATGTATGCAAATACATTTATTATTATAGGAAATAGGAAAATCAGTTATTGCTTCCTTTATAAATAATACAGGCTTAAGTTTTAAAGTTATTACTTTTGCTAAAATGCATTAGATGGCTGTGAAAAAAATAACATTTTTCTTTGTGGTAATATCTTTAACCAGATTTGTAGCACTAACAATATTTTCTATGTATATATTATTTTTATTTAATACAGGTAATCTTTTTATTACCAAATCATGTTGTTTCTCAGGAGATTACCATCAAGTGCTCATAAAAACTGCAGAAGGAAGCAGGACAATGAGACGGCATCACTCTCGAGCAGACGTAATGCGCTGTCTGCAGATTAAATACACAAAACTTTTAATATGCTTCAACGAGTGCCCGTTAGGTGCAGACCCTTCCCCCACTTGGCTTCCATTTCCATTTGAATTTGATGGTAGATGTCATCACTCAGTTTCAACCAAGAGTAAAGCAACTTGGCAGAAAAGCTATGTCTTTAAGCTTTTCATGCACTGTTTTGTTGGGATCCCAGAGGTAATGTGGTCTCTGGGGGACCCTGACCCTCTGCAGAGAATGACCCAAGGATCTCACATGATCCACTTTCTCACCCAGAAAATTACCAGTCAGGCCTTGACCAGTGGGATTCCCAGTTGTAGCCACCTCAGGTGTGTGGAGTCTTCTACCCTATAAGAAAGAGCTGTGTTGTGCGCTCTGGCCACATACAGTAGATGATGTGTTCCTGGTCCATCTGTACCTGAACTCACTTCACTCCATGATTCACACTGTAAACTAACACAAAGGCCTTGGAGTTGTCTCCTTGAATTTGATCTGAGGTCTGACATTTACTGCTTTGATCGCTATACTTTCTATGAGCCTCAGTTTTCTGCAAAATGGAAATACCCACTTACTACAACCACTGTCAGGATTTAAAAAATTGTTTATGTATGTCTATGTATGGAGTGTGGTAGTGCCCGAAAATGTAATGCCTCAGAAAACCCTCTGCAGGGTCACTATGAGTCAGAGCCAATTCCACAGCACTTAACAACAACAATGTATGCATGGCATAAAGTTCTAGAGAGTAACTGAATGAATAAATGCATGAAGCAATGATCTCACACAAGCATGTATTGATGAATGAGTATATGTATGCTGGAGTAGGTAAATGAGTTATAGCTTTATGAAAGTATAAACCTCTGTTCAAGTGACACATGGAATGGATCAATGAATAAATGCACACACAAGCTGTGCCTGTCTAGTTACAGGGCTGAAGTCCATGCAGATTATCATGCCAGCCCCTTCTCTCCACAGGGTGGAAGCTTTGATGTGGCAGATAGAATGTTCCACAGTGTGAAGAATGCATGGGAGTCTGCCTCAAGGGAGAACATGAGTGATGTCAGGGAACTGACTCCAGAATTCTTCTACTTGCCTGAGTTTCTAACAAACTGTAATGCAGTGGAGTTTGGTAAGCAGAGATCCTGAGTGAGGCTGGATGGGGTGGGTACAGGGTAGGCCTCTTCTTCCATCGGTGTCTTTACTGAGCAAGTCGGCAGGAACACCCCTCAAAGGATCAAGTGTGGTTGGTGTGAGATCATCACTGACTGGCCTTCCATCCTGGGAATGGAAGGCCAGAGCTGTGAGAGGATACTGGATCCAAGGCTGTCAGAAGTACCCACATGACCTTTCTTTTGAGCATCCCCAAGCCACAGGTCTGCAGCAAGGGAGTGCAGTGGCCAGCAAGAAGAGACTAATGAAACATGTGCCTACTCATCTCCATGACCCAGAATTAGATGGGGCCCGCCTACTATTACCAACTGTTCAGGAATCACATTAGAAGGTCCTGGATAGACTGGGAGAAAATGTGGAACAAAACTCAAAATTTTAAAAAGACCAGGCTTACTGGTTAGGAAGAGACAGGAGGAACCTGAGACTATGAGCCTTGGTCCCCTTCAGGTCTGGAAGGGAACTCCTCTCCCTCATGGCTCAGTTTCCAACCCAGCAGTAGATAGGCATATGAGGGGCAGGGGTGGGCGGGAGACAGCAGCCCTGTGAAGGCTGCACATTATGGAATTGTCAACCATCGAGATAAAAATGGGCAGCATTTACCTAAGGACACAATTCGGAAGATTTGGAAAATAAGGAGGAAGGGAAACAAGAATCTCAGCAGGAAGTGAGATAACTGATGTCACATGGAGTGTACTGCAATCATGGAAATGCAGCAAAGTATATGATTTGCTGAATGTACAACTGATGATCTGCTTTGTGAATCTTCACTCAATTCACAACTAAAAGTTAAAAAACGAAGGGATCTTGCTGGTAACCCACGTCTATCACTGCCCTGCTATGTGGCCTTGGACAAGTCCCTGTCCCTTTCTGGGTTTCATTGTCCTCCAGAGTGAAACAAAAGAGGTTGATCTGGACTCTGAGAAGAAGGTTCAAACACTGACAGCTGGCTTTCCTAAAGTAGATTGCTACGTGGAACCCAAGAACAGTTGTACAGATGCAGGTGGTGATCCCTCCTGTTTTCTTCATTTCAGACCCAACTCCAGGGTGAGCCTTGTTTTCTTAGTGCTTTAAAACCAAAAACCCCCAGAAGGTCACAGTGGGCAGGTCCTGATAACTAAATGGGTGCCTTGGGAATCTTCACTAACAAATGTAACATAAGATAAAGTCAGGGTGACACTTGGAGTATGGTTGGCATGTGGGGGTGGGAATTAGGCAAGTGCTCTTCCCAGAGGCTGGAGGCTCTGGCCTGGGAGGGAATGAGCCTCATTTCCCAGAGGTCCCCTTCCTCAGGGTTATCCCATCCTTCTTTACATAGGCGCATGCTCCCTGAGCCAGCCACAGCATACTCCTGTTGGACATGTGGACTATTAAAAAGTGATGCTGGCCAGACCAGATCCATTCCTGCCTAGCAAGTCCGATCCTAGGATCTCAGTCTAGCTGCCCTTGGTTGGGTCCATGGTCCTCAGAAACCTCATGTGCATCACAGATACGAACCAGACAAATATCAAAAAGACAGTTATCACAACATGTGGTAAGGGCCATGAAAGAAGCAATTGAGAGGCTCTGGAAGCCAAGAGGTGGATCAGGGATGGAGGAACACTCAGCTGTGTTTTGGAAATAAGTTGGGATTATCTGTTGAAGAGGTGAGGGGCAGGCAGTGAAATGACCACACATACGAAGAATGGAGGTCATTCCAGCACTGAGAAGAGATTTGATGACCACTTACATTATACTCGATGTGTTGCTGTTAGGTGTCATTGAATCAGTTCTGACTCATGTATAGGGAAACCTGCACAGGGTTTCTGAGACTGTAAATCTTTACAGGAGCAGTAAGCTTCATCTTTCTCCTGCACAGCAGCTTATGGTCTCAAATTACTGACCTTGTGGTTCTCAGTCCAATACTTATCCTCCAAAGCCACTGAACATGGAAGTGAACAAAACAGATGTGGATTCTACTTTCATGGGGTTTATATGTTGGAAGTTGTTGTTGTCAGGTGCCATCGAGTCGGAACCGACTCATAGCAACCCCATGCACAGCAGAACAAAACAATGTCCGATCCTGGGCCAACCTCACTACCGCCGCCACACTTGATGCCATCAATGATGCCACCTGGCTGATCCATCTCGTTGGGGGTCGTCCTCTGTTTCTCTGACCCTCCATCTTACCCAGCATGACATCTTTCTCTAGCGACTGTTCCCTCCTAACAATATGTCCAAAGTATGAGAGACGACATTTAGCCATCTTGGCCTCCAAGGAGCACTCTGGCTGCACCTCTTCCAAAACAGATCTATTGGTTCTTTTGGCAGTCCATGGCACTTTTAGTATTCTCTTCCAACACCACAATTCAAAGGCATCAATTCTTCTACGATCTTCCTTATTCACTGTCCAGCTTTCGCATCCATACGAGGTTATTGAAAATACCATGGCTTGGGTCAGGCGCACCTTAGTCCTCAAGCTGACATCTCTGCTCTTCAATACTTTAAAAAGTTCCTGTGCAGCAGATTTGCCCAATGAAATACATCGTCTGATCTCTTGACTGCTGCTTTCGTGAGTGTTGATAGTTGATCCAAGAAGAATGAAGTCCTTGACAAATGTTGGAAGGGAAAATACAAAAAAGCAAGAAAGCAAACAGATAAGGTTCCTCAGGCTAAAATAAGTGATATTGATTTCTACTCTGGTGATGCTGTGGTTAAGTGCCACTGCTGAAAGAAAGGTCAGCAGTTTGAACCCACCAGCTGCACTAGAAAATGGTGTGGACTCCGCTTCCATGAAGGTGTGTCCTTGGAAACCTATGGGGGAGTTCTAGTCTGCACTCCAGGATCTTTATGAGTCAAAACCAAGTAGCCAGCAATGGGTTTGCTTTTTAGGTTTGGTATAAATAAGTAAGCAGATATTTCCAGTTTTTAGTTCCTCCATTTAATTATTCAACAAAATTGAATGGCCCAAGCACCCAGACACAAAGGTATATAGTATAGGGGGAGAAAGACATATAAATAGTGATGATACTATTATTATGGTTGTTGTTAAGTGTCGTTGAGTTGGTTCTGACCCATAGTGAGTGGCTCTGTATATGGTTTCCAAGGAACGGCTGATGAGTTTCAACCACCAGCCTTGTGGTTTAACCCAACTTTGCAGTCCAGTGCATTAACCCACAGTGCCACAGCAGGACTCCAATACTATGGTATAAAACTAAAATTGTTTTATAGAAATAATGAATCAGAAATTAGCACTTCCTGTGATGCTATAGGATAAGCACTGGGCCGTAATTACAAGGTTGGTACTTCAAACTCACCAAACACTGCACGGGAGAAAGATAAGGCTGTCTGCTCCCGTCGAATCCTAGAATCCCTGTGTGGGATCACTGTGAGTCAGAATTGACTTGATGGCAATGGTTTGGGAATCAAAGAGGACCTCATGAGGGAGACAAAGACATAAAGGCAAAATGAGGGTGCTCCAGGGAAATGAGAGAGGAGGCCTGAGCAGAGCACAGTCCACACCTTTACCTGCATAATCAACCATCCTGAGCAGCACAGTGCTTGCATCTGTGAATCCTTAGCCAATTCATGCTTCCATTTATCAAAATCCCTACTGTATTTCATCCTACTCAGGCTGCATGCAGGATGGGACAATGCTGGGAGATGTGCAACTCCCTCCCTGGGCTGACGAAGACCCTCGGAAATTCATCAGCTTGCATAGACAGGTGAGTCGAGTTGGGTCACTCTAGAGCCCCTGCTCAAGGGAAGGTATTCAGATATAAACCTCACCCTCACTTCAGTCTCCATATAAGCTTTCTGTCCAACCAGAGAGTTCCTTAAAAGCACTTCTCAGGCTCTTGCATGTGTTGAGCTTAGAGAAGGGGCTGGGGCCTGGGCCCCAGAATGGCAGGAAAAGGTGTGGGTATGGACTCTTTTAAGAACACCATTAAGGTTTGCCCTTGTGCCAAATTAGTGTGGACATCACTGGGTGAAGCAAGATCAAATTCTTCTTGAAATCTCTGGAGAACAACCAAGTGCCTTTGCTCAACTCTATAGACAAGTCCTGGTGTGGTGCTGTGGGCTAATGCGCTGGACTGCAAACCACAACGTTGGTGATTCAAGCTCATCAGATGGTCCTTGGAAACCCTATACAGGGTTGCTATGGGTCAGAACTGACTCAACAACATTTAACAATAACAATAGACAAGGCCAGGCCATGATGCTAAGGTTAGCCCAAAGGGGGACTAGAGGCCTACTGGCTAAAGATTTTGCCAAGATGGGGGTGATCTTGGCTTATATAACCAAAAAAGCCTGATGTGGAGAGAGGCCAAAGGGACAAGCATATGAAAAGATGTTCAACATCATTGTTTGTTGTTGTTAGGTACCATCAAGTTGGTACCAACTCACAGCAACCCTATGCAGAACAGAGTGAAACACTGCCTGGTCCTGGGCCAACTTCACAATTATTGCCACACTTGAGCCCATTGGTGCTGCCATTTGGCTAATCCATCTCACTGAGGGTCTTCCTCTTTTTCTCTGACCCTTCACCCTACCAAACATGATATCCTTCTCTAGTGACTGGTCCCTCGTGACAATATGTCCAAGGTATGAGAGATGAAGTCTGGTCATCCTGGCCTCCAAGGAGCACTCAGCATCTTTAGACATTAGCAAAACATACATTAGAACCACAATAAGATACAGCTAAACATCCACAAGAATGGTTAAATTTAAAATTGTAAGTTACATTAAAAACAAAAACTGATAAAACCAAGTGTTGGTAAAAATAAGGAGAAATAAGAATTTCTTCATACATTGCTAGTTATGAAGCTAAAATGGTACAACAACTTTTGAAGACAGTTTAGAGAGACTGTAAACCTTTATGGGAACCGAAAGTCTCACCTTTCTCCCAAGGAGCAGCTGGTGCTCTCATATAAATGGGACAAGTCTAAATAGTGACAAGAAACCTGTGGCTTTTCCTCTGTCCATCTCCCTTATCAAGGAGAAACTTCTTCCATGGTTGATTTTTGTCTTCTGAAAATGCAGAGACGGCAGTCCTTCCTCCTACACTTTAGTAGTCTTGAGTACCTGGGCCAATAGGAATATGACCTGCAGACGACAGCAGCCCTCCCTCAAGATATTCTCGGAAAGACTTACTCCAGATCAAGAGTATCTGGACAGGTCTCACTACAGCCTTGACTACCAATGCCTTGGAGCTAATTAAGAAAATAGACTAATCAAACAACCCCACAAATTACAGGGAAGCTAAAACAATGAAAGGTGCTACAAAGGAGAGACATATGATGCAATAAGAATTGGGCAGGGTGTATACGTGACTAGGGAAACTAGGTGATGAAAACGTTGAGATATGTTCTTTCGGTGGAGTGGAGGTCTTGGAATCCAGGTTGGAGTGAACAAGGAAGTGAATGATAGATGTCACTTAAAATGATGGAGCAAGAACCTTCAAACATCCTCTCCTCTAGAAAAGCAGCAAGAATCCTGATCAAAATTGTCAGAATCAACTTTTTCAGACTGCTGGGAATTAAGTATAGGATTGTGAGTGAATAAGTATTGATCTAAAGAGTACATGTTATAGAAAAAATGGACTGAAGAGTTGTAGGAACAGATTTTATGGTGTTTTAAGGAACCCTAGTCCCATTGCCCCCTGTGATATCTACAGTTACTTTGTAAATTAACAGTCTAAATTACAGTGAAAGTCAACAGCTTGACAGTCACTGAATGGATATACTGTCCTTCAAGCCCTATTCCCAGAGAATGACTATTATTCTGCCTGTTTGGTGGTTCCCTAGAACATCCCACTCACAGGACTGTCTTTATCTGACCTTACTCAGAGCTGGTTTAGTGCATGCTACCTATTTTCCAGATAAATTTGTTTGAAACAATTAAAGGCAATCAGTCAATATGTGGATACCTGAGGTGATGGTTAACAGCTTGAGTAAACAATAAGCTAACCAAAAAGTTTGAATACAAAAGCTGGAAATAAGATGTCCACAGGAGGCTTTGATGAACTCTAACCCATTTCTAGGAATCTAGAAGACCACATACATATATGTAGGTTAGTTCTCATGTTCAAGGTCATGAGCATATTTGGGAATGAATTACAAAAACTCTAAGCCTTTACTTTTGTTGACTAATCTGGAAGCTCTGAACATGCAGAAAGTCTACGTTAAAGAAGAGATTTAAACTGCCTACTGAAAGCATGCTCCAAAAATGTATACAAATACCCTTGGTCAAGAATGCGAAACTTATTGATTGTAGGCATTTAAAGAAATCTTGGTCCAGTCATTACTTTACCTCTAAGCTAATTGAGTAGAGACTTCCAGGCCACACTTGAGAAAGATCACAGACTTTACAGAACTAATGTAGAAAAGTCATGAAGTATGCAAGCAACAAACAAAAACAGCAACAACAGCAAACCTTTAGGAGAGGAGAAAATCTGACTTTCAGAGTTGGCATATTTTATTGTTTAAAATGCCTAATAGTCAACAAAATGTATGAGGCATGCAAATAAATAAGAAAATATGCTCTGGAGGCTGGGGGAGTAATCAACAGACATCATCTCTGAGAAAGTCTTAATGTTGGATGCTATTTTTTTAATGTTAAAAAATACTAAAAGAGCATGAAAAATAGAATCACAAAATATACAATATTTGTTAAAGATTACAAGAACAACTACAAATTCTGGAATTAAACTGGAATTTAAAAAATTGTTTTAGGCTCTCTTCATTTTTTCTTCATTCATTTTTCATTCTCTTCCTCAGACTGGATAACTTTAATTGACCTATCTTTGTGTTCACTAGTTCTTCCTTAACGCCTGCTCAAATGTCCTGTTGAGCCCCTCTAGTGAATTTTCATTTCAAATTTTGTACTTTTACTAGACCATATGAATATCAATCTCTATGACTCTGAGACCCAAAGAACTACATGTTGACAAGTTCATACCAACTGCTCTGAAAGCAGAAGATTTTTGATAAAGTGGATGAAAAATGTGGAACAAAATTAAAGATTATAAAAAGATCAGGCTTACTGGCTGGATAGAGACTGGTGGAACCCCCAAAGACTATGTATGACCCCTAGTCACTCTTCAGGTCTAGAATAGACCTCATCACTGTGGCTCAAATTTTGCTCAAATAATAAATAAGATACAGAAAGTGAACAATAATATTAGTAAGATGTGTACACCTTAGAATAATCAATAATTTGAGATCAAAAGGGCAGCATTTACAAATCTGCAAATGGCAAAGCTCAGAAGTATTAGGAAAGAAGGAGGAATGGAAAGAGTAAACAGGGAGGAAGTGAAATAAGTGACGTTACATTGCAAATCAATGAGATGAAACACAATGTGTATGAATTGTTAAATGTAAAATTGATCTGCTCTATAAATCTTCACCCAGTTGGCAATTTAAAAAAATAATAAACATACTACTAAGCGAAATAAGTCAGTCTGAAAAAGCTACAGAGTGTATAATTCCAACTATAAAACAACTAGAAAAGATAACACTATACAGAAATAAAAAGATCAGTGGTCACCAGGCATTCAGGAGGAAGAAAGGAGGGATAAATAGATGGAACTCAGGGCATTGTTAGAACCGTGAAACTATTCCCTAGGATACTGTAATGGTGAACACATGATACTATGCATTTCTCAAAAACCCTTAGGACTGTACACTACAAAGAGTCTATCTTAATGTAAACTATCTACTTCAGTTGATAATGTATTGACATTGATTAATCATTTGTAACAAGTGTACCACCTGAATTCAAAATATTAATAATATGAGACAGTATTCAGGTGAGAAAGGAGATTTATATAGAAACCACACCTTTGGTAAAATTTTCCTGTAAAACTAAAACTGGTCTTTTAAATCTATTTTTTAAATGAGTGAATGAAGTAAATTATAGAATAATCTTTGTTCCCCTTTGTGTGATACTATCCATCTACCTTTCTCCAGATAAGGAGAAAATATTTGAAGTTGTCCGGTGTCATGAAAAGATAGAGGTACACATTATTTTGAAATAATGACCAGAGTGTTATTGAAATTGTGTATCACTAAATCTGAGCAGATGTTCTGGTGTGGCACTGTAGGATAAGCACCGGACTGCTATCCACAAGTCTGGTGATTGAAGCCCACCAGCTGCTCCTCAGAAACTCTGTCAGAACGGACTTGATGGCACTTAACAACAAACAAATCTGAACTGGATAAAGATGTAGCTGAGCTCAAGAGAGTGCTGATAGCTTGCAAGGATGTCAAGGTGTAAGGTTCTGAAAGTTCTGATGAGGTGAAATAGTCAAACATAGTATGACTGTCACCCACTGGGATGTTTGAGGAAGTGGTTTTAATGATGGAGCAGTTATGGATCAATGTGTGTCCAGGGAGTAGGTGACACTTTAGGTGGAATAGAAGTGGAGCTAGAGGAACTGAGAAGCCAGATGTTGAAATCAATGATGGCAGAGCTTAGAGAAGAAAAGAAAACATGGTCATCTTTGATGAATGAGGATAGTAGCAGAAAAGTTGGTACATGGCAGCAGTGAGAATGAATGAGAAGAGGAGTAATTAAGTCTCATGAAGAGGGAAGAGGAGCGGTGGTCTAGAAGTGGCAACGAAAAGCAAGGACACCAACCTTGCCTCCTGGTCACAAGACACCTGCGATGTAATCTAGGAGTTGTTGTTCTTAAGTGTTGTGGAGTCAGTTCTGACTCATATAGCTCCTAGATAGGGTTCCTGAGGAGAGGCTAGTGGGTTTGAACCACTGACCTTGTGGTTAGCAGCCTAGTGCTTTGCCAATAGCACCAGTGCTTTGAGGAGATGTGAGGCTTCATGAAAGGAAAGACCGTGGGAAGAATGTTCAATAAGAGCTTGAGGATGTGGACAATGTACTTTCTTATGGAGTGACAGGAAGAAGGCCCAGTGGAAAGGTCAAATGTCCTGGCCTGTGGGTTTCCCTTCTTCCTTCCTCCGCTATGACTACTTTGGTATAGTGGTCATCAACAGAAAGCTTTCAGTTAAACATCTCCAGAAGAGTCTTAGGTATGCTTCTGGATGGTTTCTCAATGAGGGAAGTTCACATTTCCTAAGATTTGATTAATTCCCTGTCACAGACAATACAAGATGGATTCTATACCCAGTGTTAGTGATTTCTATGTAGTTGAGTGAGATAGAGTCCTTGGTAGTGCAAATAATTAACATGTGTGGCTGCTCACCAAAAGGTTATATGAGTCCACCCAGAAGCACCTCAGAAGGAAGGCCTAGTGATCTACTTCTGTAAACCCAGTCACTGAAAACCCTATGGAGCATAGTTGTACTCTGACACATATCGGTTGACATTGATTCGAAGACAACTGAATGGTATTTGGTTTGAGTGAAGTGAGATCTTCTCAGAGAGGTGAGATGTTCCCTGGGAGATTCTGAGACTTGCTAGCTGGGAGCTGGAATGGTAGATTGAAAAATCCACCCAAGCCTGGTTCAGAATGGGGTTAGTTATATCTGCCAGCAAAAATGTGTATTAAAGGAAAGAGAGAATCCACCAAGCCATTGCTTGCTTCTTAATGCTTACACAGAGTCTGCTGTGCACCAAATGTGTACACCACTCAGTCTTTGCTTAAACTTGTAGCCATTTCCTCATTCTATAGATGCAGAAACTGAGGCTTAAAACTGTTATGAAACTTGAGTGGCCATGCTCAGATTCAAATGAAGGCGATTAATTCAGAGCTTTCTTCCCAAACTACTGTACTCAGCTTCACCTCCCATCCTCTCTGGTCAGAATCAGCATTTCCTTCTTCATGTGTCAGATCTCATCAGAGACCCAAGGATTAATTTTCAGCCTGCTTACTCAGCTTATGTATCACTCCCAGACCAACACTCTACAGATATTCTGGTTATTTTATGAAGTGGATGGAAAGGGGTGATGGGAACACTCAGATGGCTTTTGCCATTAGCCGGAGCAAGAATTGGGGTGGCCTCGTCCATTGGCTAGTGATTCTGCCTGTTGGGACTCTGTCAAGTACAAGAGCCACCACTTTTCTTTCCTGTACAGAGCAGTGTCCTAAAGTCCATGCCCCCTTGCAGTCTGTACAGAGGGAATCTGAACCAGGGAGAAGCCTGTGATTTCATGGTGTTTGGGTCTTGCTTCCAGGCTTTGGAAAGTGACTATGTCAGTGCCAACCTCCACCAATGGATAGACCTCATTTTTGGATACAAACAGCAAGGCTCGGCTGCAGTGGAGGCTGTTAACACATTCCACCCCTACTTCTATGGTGACAAGATGGACCTCAGCAGCGTCAAAGATCCTCTGATCAAGAGCACTGTCCTGGGTTTTGTCAGCAACTTTGGACAGGTGCCCAAGCAGGTAAAGCACGTCACTTATCTTGCTTTCTCAATAAATGTGTACAGCGTGAACTTGGAGAGAGGGTAAGAACGTTTTCCTCTGGGATAGGGAAGATGGGAAAGACTTAAATGTTAGAACTTAACCTTTATGATGATGAAGATGATGGCATCCCCAGCGGTAACAATGAAAGCTACATTCATCTGTGGTGAACCAGTGGCCTAATATATAAGGCATCAGCCTTCATAGCTGGGAGTGTGGGTTTAAGTCCAATCTGCATCACTCAGGAAGTGGTCTGAGTTCTCACATGGTGCTGCAGGATAAGCACTGGACTGCTGGCCATTAAGGTTAGCAGTTCAAACCCACCAGCTGCTCATCTGAAACCCTACATCAGGTCGGAAACCCTACATAAATCGGAACCAACTTGAAGACACTTAGCAAGAACAACATTCATCTGTCACAAATGTGATAGGAACTGTGATAAGTGTTTAGTGGTGGTGGTGGTATGCCATGGAGTCAGTTCCAACTCATAGTGACCCTGCATAGGGTTTCCAAGGCTGTAAATCTTTACAGAAGAAGGAAGTCTCATCTTTCTTCTACATAGCAACTGGTAGATTAGCACTGCTGACCCTGCAGTTAGCAGCCCAATTCATAACCCACTATGCTGCCAGGGATAAGTGTTTGCTGTTGTTGTTGTTGTTGTGCTTAATCATGTATGCACATCTATTCTACAAGGTTGATGTTATAATCCAATACAAGTTATGTGCTGTGGAGTCGGTTCCGACTCATAGCAATCCTGTACAGGGTTTCCGAGGCTGTAAATCTTTACAGGAACAGAAAACCTCATCTTTCTCCCGCGGAACAGCTGGTAGTTTTCGAACTGCTGACCTTGCGATTCACAGCCCGATTTGTAACCACTATGCTACCAGAGCTCATATAAAGTACTTAAAAATACCTGAGATATAATTAAAACCAGTTGCTGTCTAGTTGATTCTGTCTAAATCATGGCAATCTAGTGTATGTCAGAGAAGAACTATGCTCCATAGGGTTTTCAATGACTGCTTTTTTTTTTTTAAAGTAGATTGCCAGGTCTTTCTTCTGAGTTGCCTATGGATAGACTAGAACCCACGACCTTTTGGTTAGTAGCCAAGTTGTTAACCATTTGCATCATCCTGGCACTATGAAATACAATTGTCATCATTGCTGAGTGCCATGGAATTGGTTCTGATTCATAGCGACAAAGGAATGGATGGTGGATGTGAACTGACCACACCAGACTCCAAAATATAATTTGTTAATTGTTGTTGTTAAGTGTCATTGAGTTGATTCCAACTCATAGCGGCCCTGTATAGGGTTTCTGAGGAATGAGTTAGCACTTAACAAATGCTATTTATTAATGTGATTGATTCATTGAATCCTCTCATCAACTCTGAGTATAGGGATTATTTCTGCCTTTCACAAAGCAGAAATCTGAGGCTCAGGGAGGTTCTGAATTCCACCATTAGCAAGTGACAGAGGCTGAGCTTTAGACCCATCTGGCTAACTCCAAACCTAAGCTATAATGTTACAAATGTAAGGCTGTCCCTGTGCCATGAGTCAAGCAAACCCAAGCATGCAACTTGAAGGTGGGCAGCAAAGGAGCTGTGCCTGAGCCCATCCAAACTTTGTAGCACCTGTGGGAAAGGGCATGTTCTGGAAAGACTGGCTCTGCTTATGCATTTGTCTCCCAGCAAGAGTTCTGACTGCCTAGACTGGGCCTATGATCTGGGGACCATGCTTCTGAACTCAGAAGGCTGCAGGCAGGAATAAAACACCTCTATATTAATCCAGCTCTGGTAGCGTAGTGGCTACGAATCAGGCTGCGAACCTTAAGGTCAGCAGTTCGAAACTACCAGCCGCTCCACGGGAGAAAGATGAGGCTTTCTACTCCCGTAAAGATTTACGTCCTCGGAAACCCTGTACAGGGTCGCTATGGGTCGGAACCGACTCGACGGCACTTAACAACAACAACAACAATATTAAACCAAAGTTTGGTGATCAACATGGCAGAGGTGGTTCGCTGCTGGGCCTTTCTTCAAGTCTTCAAGACATCAGCAGGAATGCACAATCTGATGGGAGAGGGAGTCAGCACAGCAAATGGCCCAGGTGAGACTCTTGCAATTTCACCAGCTTGCCCTGTTGAAGGGACAACTGAGGCAATGCTTGAGTCAATGAGGTTAGAAAGCCCACTAATAGGGTTTGCCTGTGCTCCTTAGAATATTTGAATGGAAACAGTGAAAGATTTGTGTATTTATGTCCAGATGGATGGCACAATGGGTTACACATTGGATTGCTAACTGGAAGGTTGGGGGTTGGAATCCACTAGCACCTCCTCTGGAGAAAGTTGAGCCCGTCTGCTTCTGTAAGGATTTACAGCCTCAGAAATTTCTGTCTTATAGGATCCTTAAGAGTCAGGATCAACTTGATGGCAGTGGATTTGGTTTGGGTGTTTTGAATGAGCCTGCAGAGAGATTGTAAGATAAAAGGGAAAAGATAAGAAACAACTCAAGTGAATGAAGAAGGTAATGTGAGCTAGGGAGGGATAGGGCCATTGTAAATGTGTGAGGTGCGTTTCAGATACCAGAGTTTGCAACTAAGTCATCCTTTTACCGGTCAGTATCAGGGAGCTCTGGGAGTGTAGTGGTTATGAATCGGGCTGCGAACCACAAGGTCAGCCATTTGAAACTACCAGCTGTTCCGCAGGAGAAAGATGAGGCTTTCTGCTCCCATAAAGATTTACAGCCTTGGAAACCCTGTACAGGGTTGCTGTGAGTCAGAACCGACTCCACAGCACATAACAACAACAACAATCAGGGAAAAAAAGAACACAGCTTTGGCTACCAGAAGACTATCTCTACCAGTCACATGCTGTGCAAACTTGGGAACGAGTTGCCTTTGCTGTGTTTATATTTCCCACCCAGTCATCTGTTGATCTGCACCGGGAGGATTCATCCCTGAGTGTTTATTCCTTAATTACCAGTGTGATGTCCCCTTACCTCTCCAGCTCTTCACCAAACCCCACCCAGCCAGGACCACCACAGGGAAACCATCACCTGGAAAAGATGTGAACATACCCCCAAACCTGTTGGGTCATCCTCAGCCATTTTTCTACAGCCTGCAGTATCTGAGGCCCTCACCAGTCATAGTCAAAGGTGAGCACCCAGCCCTGCTATCCACAGAATCATCTCTTCAGTGAAGACACCTCTCTCAAGGTTCTGGAGCACAGACCTGGGGAAAGGGTTGGACTTCAGTTGGGTGGGAATGTAAGAGGGCCTCTACTCTTGAAAATGTTCTTGGATCTACCTCTGATGTGCCAGCTTCAGTATATCTATCTGTGCCTTTTTCCTATAAACACATACATGCACATCCATGCATATACCCAGACCTTATGATTCTCAAAGACAAATGGGAAGCCCCTAAGTCTCCTGAGAGAGAATCCTGCTCTGTACCTTAGATGGTACCTCAGGTCATCATGGCTCCTAGGACTCAGCTGGCCATGGACCCCACAGTCCTAAGCATGCATGCTATGGAATAGAATGTCTGGGTGGGAGTTCCAGTCCTACTGTGTCCTAGGTATGGAACTTGGGCATGTCACTGAGCCTCAATGAGCCTCTGGGCATCAGAACAGGGAAAAATGAGGTCATTCACATGTAGTACCCAGCACATGGCCAATGCTCCACAAACACTGCCGATCCTTAGTCTGTCTCTGTTTGATGACAAGTCAGTGGCTTCATTAATTGCCACAAAGCCTGAGGAGACCATGTAATGGCTATTTTTGTTAAATATTGTTTAGTTGGTTCTGACTCATGATAACCCTATGGTTCAAACAGACCTTGTAGTCCAGTGCTTACCCTGAAGTTTCACACCAGCCCGATGGAGACAATCACCCAGCTGGGAACAGAAGGGTTGGTGGGGCTAACTCACAGGGTCATGACTGTGAAATCTGATGGCTATGCCACCCTAGAAAATCCCACTAAACAGAAATGACATACTGACCCTAAGTTTGAGATTATTTTTTTGTCCCGGGTAGTTTGTCCTTTTCTTTCTCTGAATGTCTGTGTTGCACCCCATCACTGTTGGTTATGAGGCTTCTATTCCTGGCTCTGGAGACCATGTATCCATCTACACCAGAGTTGGGTGTTTCTGACCACATTTAAGGCCTGGCCCTGCCATCTTTGAGAGACCGGATGCAGCTCTTAACTCACCCCTAGCCCACTGACCCTTCCCGACTTTCAGTTTTCTCATGTGTAATGTGGGGAATGCAATGTCTGTGCCCTTGGGTTTGTTGTGAAAGTTCTGTGAGTTGGGGTCATAACAAAGTCAAAGTATAGATCCCAATGATGCCTGAGTATGCTGGGCATGCTATGAGGAACCTGACCATTCTTACTTAAGGGAAGCAGGGGTGCCCAGTAGTAATGTTCATGGAGACTGATCTCTGTCCTTGGGTGAGGTGGTGTTGAAAGAAGATTGTTCCAAATCACCTGGCATGGGTCTCAGAGAAAGGAAATCATCCCTGTCATGTGTTATGGGCCACCTGACAAAAGCAGGTCAACTTCCATCTTTGGAGCTTCTCAGAGGATGAACTCAGTCTTGGGTGTCACACATGACCAACGTCTCTGTCAATCCTCACAGCAACCTTGGGAGAAGGTATCATCATCTCCACAGACAGGGCATAATTACAAGATGAAGGAACTTGTCCGGATAAGGAGGGCTGTTCACCTGGGTCCTAGCACAAGAGCTGACTTTTAGAGAGTGGAGCTGGCAAAAGGACAGAAGTGTTAACCTGCTACAGGGTACCCTTGCAGTTAGTGTAGGAGCAGTCAGCCTGGTCAAAAGCAAGAAGGGACTTCCGATTTTGGTGATAGCAGAGCAGAGTCAGGTAGGACAGGCTCCGTGGGGGAGGGGCTGAAAACTCAGAGAAGCTGCTTTAGCGGAATAACACCAGAGCTCTGGATCTAGCATAAGGTGAAGGGTGTCAGTTTCCCAGGTGCGCCAGTGGAAAAATCACAGTATAAAGGAAAATGTTGCAATTTAGGAATTGGTTGAGACACGGGACTCCCTCTGTGGCCACCCCACCCAGACTGAGTTCAGAGGGTGGGGCTACAGCCAGACCAGCACAGTGAGCTAGAGTTAAAAGTGGCACAGTGACATTTGCAAAAGGAGGTGTGGGGGGATTCTACACATTTTTTTCCTCCTCTTCCCTGACGTGCCTTCTTTGCCCAGCCTGGATGCCTTCAGGTGGGTGGGTGCATACTCCCCAAAAAAAGGCCAGCGTTGAGCCCACAGTTTTCCCACAGCATACCACATTTACGATGGTGACTAGAGGAGGGGCCTGAGTGAGTGGACACCCCCACCTGGAGGGTTCTACGGTGGACACACACTGCCTGTGTAGCAAGTCGACTGGCCAGTTGGCCACAGTTTTATTTTTGCTTCAAAGTGGTGGTTTTTGTCTCTGCTTATATATTGCTTCTGCTTTTGGTCCTTTTGATCACACATTTTTCCTGGAGGTGGGAGCTTTTTCTCCCTACATTACCAAAGAAGAGACAGCAATCATGGCCATATAGCCAAGCTACAAGCATACCCCAAAATATTCCACCATTGAGACAAGAGCCAATAACAGCTGCTAAGCATTACATGCAAAAAGGGAAGCCTATCTCCTGATCATATCCACCAGGAGACACCCAGTAAGCTTAATAACACAGCAACAAACATCCATTTAAGCATTAAAACACCACATAACTACTGGAAATGACCCCCCCCCAAACAAACAAACAAAAAAAAGCAAACACAAAAAAGATCTCAAAACATGTCCAAAAGCAGAAAAGAGTAACTGAGACAAATGAGCTGGAGACAGACAAAGGCTTTCCAGAAGAGGAAGAGCAGATTTGGGATTTGCCTGAGAAGGTATTCAGAAGAACGATATGGAAACAAATTCAAATCCTCCGAAAAGGGGTGGAGAAAAGCAAGGAAGAAGTCAATAAAGTACTATAAGAGCAATCAAGCAAGATCGATACAGCATTGGAAACAATTCAACACCTGCAAAAAGAGGTCCAGATGATTAATAATAAAATATAAAAAATGGACATTACACTGAAAGGGGAAAGGAGTAGAATTGAAGAGATGGAAGCCAGAACCAGCATGCTGGAAGACAAGTCTCTAATACTGCTAAGGTAGAAGAGCAGGCAGAAAAGAGGATAAAGAAATCTGAAGAGAGTCTAAAATTCATGCTAGATAACATGAAGAGGAACAACTTAATAATTATTGGCATTCTGGGAGAGGAAGAATCAAACAGTACACAGAGGAGATAGTTGAAGAGTTTCTGGAAGAAAATTTTCCTAACATCTTGAAAGATGAGAAGTAAACATTCAAGAAGTCATATGTACCACAGGAAGGATAGACCTCAAAATAAAATCACCAAGACATATAAAAATCAAGCTTTCCAAAATCAAAGACAAGGAGAGAATACTAAAAGCAGCCAGGGAAAAGAGACATGTTAATCAGATTAAGCTCTGACTTTTCAGCAGAAACCATGTAGGCAAGGAGGCAATGGGGAGACATATACAAAATCCTAAAAGAAAACAACTGCCAACCAAGAATCATCTATCCAGCAAAACTGTCAACCAAATACGATGGTGCAATCAAAACATTCCAGGATAAACAGAAGCTAAGAGATTTTGTCAAAGCCAATCCAGCACTTCAAAACATCCTAAAGGGAGTTCTTTGGACTAAAAACCAACAAGAACAGACAACAACCAGAGATTGACAGGCATGGCAACACCACCTGAAACTCAGATGATGGATAGCACAGTCCATAACAGAACAAAATTACAACAACGAATTCAAAGGAGCTGGGAGGTGAACTGAAGATCAAAATAATAACAATATCAAAGAAGGGAAAAATGTAGGAACAGAGATCCAGGTGGTGATGAGGTAAGGTAGATTACAGGATACACTAGATTCTCAAATGGAGAGAAAAGTCAATAGACTATAAGGTAACCCTAAAGAAAGTTAATACTTCACAATTTACCATGAAAATGAACTTCCATGGCACTTAACAAGATCCTTCAATATGCTGCCTACAAGAGATACACCTTACACACAAAGACAAAAACAGACTAAAAGGTAAAGGATGGAAAAAATATACCAAGCTAACTGCAACAATAAACAAGCATGAGTAGCAATACTAATCTCTTATAAAGTAAACTTTAAGACAAAAACCAGCATAAGAGATTAAGAAGGACACTATCTCATGAACAAAGGATCAATTGAACAAGATGACAAAACCATAATAAATGTCTACACTCCCAATGAAAGAGCACCAACATATATGAAGCAAACCTTACTAGAATTGAAGAAAGAAATAGATAAAGCTACAATTATAATGGGGGATTTTAATACACCACTTTCGAAAAGGGTCAGAACAACCAGAAAGAAACTCGACAAAGTTACACAGGAACTAAACCCCAGTCAACCAATTTAACCTAATAGACGTGTACAGAGCATTCAACCAAAAAACAGCACAATATACATCCTTCTCCAGTGCACATGGAACCTTATCCAGAATTGAACATGTGTTAGGTCACAAGCCAAGCCTCCATAAATTTACAAACATCAAAATACTACAAAGCATATTTTCAGACCACAATGCTATAAAACTAGAAATCAACAATAAGAAGACCAAGGAAATAAAGTTGAATAGAAGGAAACTGAATAACACCCTGTGAAAAGTGACTGGGTAAAAGAAGAAATTAAATGTGAATTCATAAAATTCTTAGAAACAAATGAGAATGAAAATACAACATACCAAAATCTTTGGGACACGGCGAAAGCAGTGCTGAGAGGACAATTTATTGTGATAAATGCGCACATCCAAAAAGAAGAAAGAACCAAAATCAACACATTAACACAGCATCTCCAACAATTAGAAACAGACCAACAGAGGGAACCTACAGTCACCAGAAGAAAAGAAATAATAAAGGTTAAAGCAGAAATAAATGAGATGGAAAACAGAAAAACTATAGAAAGATTCAACAGGACAAGAAGCTGGTTCTTTGAAAGTATTAACAAAATTGACAAACCATTGACAAACCTAACAAGAAAAAAGGGAGAAGAC